ATACGAATACTTTTTGTGACTCGCTGTAATATCTATTTTGTTAACGTAATTTATATCAACGCCCGTCAGTTTTAATAGAAACGAAACGTAATTACGTTCCTCTAGGTGCATTGTACTAACAAACAGAAACGGTAGTAAGTATATATATTACATTGCGAAATCTCGAGTAAGCAAGGCTTAAACTCTAGACGATCTAATACGCCTATTTATTTTCATTAATTTCTAGAGAACAAGGGAACGATCGAATAGGCCTGTTAACTATACGAGACTTAGAAGATATATCGATCGGTCCGCTAATTCGTGCAAGGAACCTCGATTACGCGTTACACGCTTTACACGGGCCCGTATCGTTAAATTTTATCCAGAGAGATACGCAGGGAGAACGCCATTTACGTCAAATTAGCTCCATTAGAACGTTCCTTCGTAGTAGAGAGGTAATATAATCACGATGGGAAAAAAACATTTTCCTCTCTCTTTCCTTCTATCCTTCCTTTTCCTTCTTACTTAACTTTAAACGCACTCGATTATCTAGACCAGTGGTTGTTAAAACATTTTTGGTTCGCGATTGCCTTTCGTTTACAACAACAACAACAACAACAAAAAGAAATATTAAAACGATATTATACGTAGTCTATATTTTGCTATATAAGTGCAACAAACCATCTTTGAAAACTAAAAGTACCAAAAATTCAATAAAAACAAAAACAATATTTAAAACATTTTAAAAGCAAACAAGAAAATTATCAAATCATAGTAAGAAATTTAGAGAGAGATTGAGAGAAAAAAATAACCAAAAATTAAAAAGGAACCATTGTGCAACATTTTTATTCACGACTCTTCATCCGTATGTTCGTAAAACTTTGATTTTAAGAACCACTGATTTAAACTACTTTCTAATATCTCTTCTTTAATCATCGTAATTAATCTTTCTTTATATTCGAGAAAATTCGTGCGAGTGAAGGAAGCTACGTTAAAGAATATATGTATGCATACAGGTACTTTAAATACTTTACTTATACACGTTGAATATTTACGAAATTGGTGATACTTTATAGAAAAGATGCCGGCTTTTTTTCCTTCTACATAAATACTATTATACCATGATATTCCTGGTATAAATCGTTCTCGTTCTAAGAACGAGAACCACGAAAAGTGTCAACCTTTTCGAGGAAATATTCAATGGAAGAAGGTATCGGAGTTTAGGTAGCCCGTCACGTAAAAGGTATGTATTACTCGGGACGTTTCTCGGCGCTTAATGAAACGCGTAGTTCTGGGAACCACGTCTCAAACACGTACGACGGCTTACTAATGTTTCGTGCATGACAATCGCGGACGAACGCGTGAATGTCGCACGGACAATGACCCGGAATTCTTTACCTAGTTGTCATAAAGTATTCTCCAAAAGAAAAAAAAAGAAATAACAACAACAACAACAACAACAAAGAAAGAAAGAATGATAGAAAAGAAATGAAACGAAAACGGAATCTTCCCACAACGGAAAATATAACTTTCTTTCTTTCTCTTACCATTTTTCTCTTTTTCTCTTTAACATTGAACCATTGTAGAGATTTAAAGCTTTCTGAAACTAGGAGCTGCGTTGAATTAGAATGAATATATATCATGAGGGGGATTAAAAAAGATAATAAAAAGATGAGAGAAAGAAAGAAAGAAATATGGTCTATCTTTTGTTAAATGGGGACTTGAGGATATTGTCCTGAACGTAAAATGGCCGATTCGATCCCCACCCCCGCACTCCTTTGATCGTAGGTAGCATCACCAACAGAAGAAGGAAGCGATTTTAACCCGGAAATCCCTCGAAGGCTCGTTCTAGAAAATTTTTTCTGAAAGCTGGAATGTGGCTACGTTTTATACACCGAGAGAGAAGATGGTTCTTCGAATTCAACCCTCTGGGCTTTTCGTAGGATGTGCTAGCGTAGACTTGAAACTCGTCATCGTTGTTGTCATCGTCGGCATGAAAGTTTAACGTCATGTGAGAAAGCTTGAGATAGATAGATAAAGAAATGAACAAAAAACAAAAGTGAACGAAGTCAGCGTGAAAATACACGTCAGTATTCGCTGATTTCTGACGAGCTTCGTCTATTCTAGAACAGGGTTGTTAGAAAATCTTTAGTACAGTATCCGGTAATAATATTCCTATTCCAATTTCCTTTTACGCGAGTTATGACTATCAATTTTTTTGTCTTCCTTCTTAATCCCTCTAAGCATCGAATAAATTTCCTATTCCGTTTATAACCAAATGTGATGATTATTAAAGAAAAACTTAGTGAACATAGTAAACCCAAAAACATTTTATTCTCTTCTTTTTCTTCGAATAATTCCTTTCATACTTATTTTACTTATTATTTTTTTTATATAATGAAAAATAATAATATAGTTTTATTGATACACAGAATTGATTTTGAAAATAAACGATAAAGAAGTGGACATAGAAGTTAAATTAATACTAAAACCATTACACTAATTAGCGACATACTTCAATTAGATCGGTTGTATGTATCTTTCCGAACTTTTACACGTAGATTCTTGAAAGACATTTAATACCCATTGTCAAAGGGTTAACCCATCCAGGATATCGAAATTTCAAATCTACGAGAGAGAAAGCTGATTGTTTGCGATTGGTCAGAGTTTGTACTCTGGTCATCGTCTTTGTCGATTGTTATTTTTTGTTATCGTTGTGTTGTTCCTTCTTGATCCGAAGAGAAGAAGTGAAAACCACTCGGTCGGCCGTTATTTTTGTCAGTCCAACGAGATGACTCGAAGAAAGAGGAAGGGAAGGAGGAGAAAGAGGAGGGAGAAGATAATGGTCGATCGAGAAACACAACGACCGAGTTTGAACGCCTTCTCTTTTTTTCTCTCTCTCTCTCTCTCTCTTTTCGTACCTTTCAGTGCTTTCCCTTTCGACCTTTCACATGGAAAATTATCCGAACTTCTCTAAAGAACTAGTTGATAAATCGAGCGTTTCTAACTACTCGCTTTAAATCAATAATTTATATATTGTAATATTATATTTATTAAAAATAAATACGCGTACACACACACACACAAACACGCGCGTACACGAATTATGAGTATATCATAAATGTATAATAAGTAAATAAATATTGTACATGAATATATACCTATATACAGGTGGTAGGAAGGTTGTGCATAGAAGTAGAATCGAAAGGGTTTAGTGTTGAAGCGAGGAAGATAGAAAAATACGGGGAAAGGGAAAGAAAGAATGAAATAGTGAGAGAGAGAGTAAGAGAGAGAGAAATATAGAGAAAGAGAAAGAAAGAAATTCCTTCGAAGGCGATTTGAAAAGCGCCTCGTTAGCGTAATAACTTAACGGATCGGGGTACGCCGAGAGATCGTAGAAGATATCTCTACGAAAGGGGGATAACAAAGTATCCGGTACGTCCTTGCGAGATCGGATCGCTTGCACGAAAAGAGATATGGGAAAGAAACGTCATCGGTCGAGGAAAGAGAAAGAAAAAGAAAAAGAAAAAGAAAGAGAGAAAGAGAGAGTAAAGGATAGAAATATTTCTAGAGAGTCACCTTGGTCCTCCACTCTTTCTCTCTCTCTCTCTCTCTCTCTTACTCTCTCATGGTAACCCGTAAATACGTACACCCGCACGCGTTGGAAAATATCTCGAGGGTCATGGTTACCTTTCCTTTCCTTTCCTTTCCTTAACTTTTTGTCTTCTTTCCTTTTCTTTTCTCTCATCTCGTCCTGGATATCCTTGGTACGGAATCGTATTCAAAGTTCACTGGTACCCCACCGATCGCACACACCACCTTAAAGAATTATTTTTAACGGGGGTACAACGACGACATGTAAAATAAGCTCTCTACGGGTACTTAGAAGGCGATGGAATCTTCATTACCCGTTTGCGACGAGAGTACCCGGAGAGTCCTTGTTGCTTACGATAGGAAGGAGGGATTCGCTAGCACGAATAAAGAGGACGAAGAAGGAGGAGGAGAAGGAGGACAAAAAGGATGATGAGAGAAGGAACAACAGGAAGAAAAAGATACTACCGGGACTACGAAGTAGACGAGCACGCGCTCGACGAATCCTTCTTCTTCTTCTTATTTTTCTTCCTTTTATTTTTCTTCTTCTTCTTCTTCTTCTTCCTTTTATTTTTATTCTTCTTCTTATTTTACTTTTTCGTTGTCGTCGAAACTCGGGGAGGACCTTTATCGCGACGAGACTTACGAACTCCAAACGAGAGACCTTCGGCATCGGCCATCTTGTTCTTCCTTTTCTTTTTTCTCTCTCTCTCTCTCTCTCTCTCTCTTTCTTTCTTTCTTCTTCTCTCTTCTCTTTTCTATCTTCAGAACGTTGTCGCCCCTTAGTACGAGTTTTACAAGCTCGATCGAAATGGTTTCTTCTTGTCACAGGCAAGATACGCCATATACTCAACTTCATCCAAAGATCTAAACAACAATCTTGACAACTTATTCTTTCGAAACAAATATATATATATATATATATGTATATGTTGACTATGTATATGTAAGACTAAAATTGGAGAACGTTCAGATTAACATGGTCAACGCATACCAAATTCCTTTGTGAAAGATTGAATATTTTCGTGGTTTATTTTTATACATTAATATTTCGAATGCGAATCTTTTGACATTCTTTCAAATTTCGATCTTTCACGATGTATATATATATATGGAATTTTTATTTTGAAAGTGATGTAAGTTCATTTTCTGTTGTAGCGAGAAAATTAAAGGTTCACATATTTAATCAATTTAAAAATATAAATTAATAATTTCAAATCTCTGACAATATGTTTCTATTAACATATCAATATGTAATTTAATTATATACATTTCTTTAAGCTAATTTCACTGAAATAATGTATATTTTACGTGCTGTAAATGGATTTACAACACTTTCAAAATAAACAGTCCATGTATATATATATTCTCTTCCTTTTTTTTGTTCATTCAATATCTTGAAATTCGCGATAACGGATGATTATATTCAGTTTTAATAGAATCTCCATTTTGGGTGGGCCCCGATCGGATGACAAAGGATCCAGGAGTCTCGTCGATCGATTCGAAGGCTCACAATCGTGAGCATGTTTTATTTATCGGAATAATTCTGAAAGAACGTGGGGGTTGTTCAACGAGTTACTCGCTGACCACGAATAAATACGAAGAAGAAGAAGAAGAAGACAACAACGAACACAACGATGTAACAACGACATAGACGACCACCACTACGACAAATATAAGAAAGAGGGAAAAGATCGAGGTTAGTTTCTCGTTGTAACGAGCCTTCGAGAATCTCGGAAGCACAAAAGTATTTCTCTCTTTCTCTCTCTCTCTCTTTCATTTTCTCCTTCTCTAATTTTTTCTCTCTCTCTTTCCTTCGCATTTTAAAATCTCACCGTTATCTAACAGTTTCGGCGCAATCTCCTAACGGTCCTCGCGTTTCTACGGACAATGAAATGCCTCTGAAAATATGTAATATTATCGTCAACAACCAAGGTGGACCTTTTGTAAGAAACCAGTCGCTTGCTTGCTTGCTTGCTAGCATCGTTCAAATGAAATTATGTTGCGTTGCGAGAAGCAAGAACGAGAAACTCTCGATTCGCGTCGTACGTCTAGCGGTGCTTATACTCAACTTTTACGAGCAACCTCGTCTGAATATCTAATTGTTCTAGTTGTTGAAAGAAGAAAAAAGAAAAAAGAAAAAAGAAAAAAGAAAAAAGAAAAAGTATGAAAGAAAGAAAGAAAGAAGAAATATAAACGATAACGTAACAGGTATGGTCGACATTAACGACCACGATGATGTTTCGTTCTTTTCAAGGAATGACTTGTTCGCATATATGATATTTTTCATCTTTTCTTCAAACCTTTAGAAATACGCTTAATAACAACACAGTCTAACTTCTTCCTATTTATCATTGAAAGAAAGATTTCAACGAGTTATTAATTATCGTATTAGACAAATAGCTTTCTATTCTATTTAGTTTACGAAACGTTTTTCAACGCTTATATAATGTGCATACGTATATTATATATGATAAAATAATATAGAATAATGTATATAAAGGATATCTCAGTTAAATAGGATCATCTAAATATATCATATGTTTACGATTGTATGAAATAACTTTATAGGAAAAAGTTTTACCATAGTGCGGATGGAAAAAATGTATTGGTCGAAAGAATTTTGTGTCTTTTAAATTAAATTTCAAAGCTATCGATATGTTTTTAAATAAAATCTTATATTTTCTTTTTTGATATTTTTCTAAAGCGTACAAAAAAAGAAAATACCAAACGAATTTAACGCTCTGACGCAATTGCAGTTTATTTTTTAACGTAATCCAATTGTTTGCATTGAAATAAAAAAAAAAAAAGAAATAAAATGATAGGAAATCAAAAGCCGTATTGTTGCCGTATGATTTTTGTCCTCTATCATTTTTATCGATTTTTATTTGAAAGAAAAAAAAAAAGAATAAGAACCCGTCCCAGTTCCAAGAATCAACCTGTGTATTTATACGTATCGAGATATTTACTCATATATATACATATACATATATATACAGTGTTAAAGAATCACACGTGCGACTTTAATATCCGGCAAGGTCGCACGAGCTAATTCGTTATCCGTGTCTCATCGTAATCTTTTAAAAGTATTTTCTCGGTTAAGTTCCCCGGTTGTGTTAGTCGAAACCGTGGGGAGCACATTGTAGTTCAAGGGGGCAGCCGTCTGACAACTCAATCCCACATTGGGAGAGGCATTTCTATTTTTAACCATGGGCGGACAGCGGATTCTATCCGAGGCTCATAAACCGGATTCGTATCTTGGAATCTGAGGGGGTAGTAAGGATGCATATGGCGTACGTATGTACGTACGTACGTATCTACGTACTTACATACGCACCTACGTATTCGTATAACGCGTCCGGGTCGATGAATCTAACGACTAGAAGATAGATAATCGTCCTAGTCAAAAATAAATTCGATTTAATATTCTCTTCAATGATTTAATATATCGCGTTTAAACTTCTTAACTTGAAACGCATTATCTCGTACGTTCCACCACGATTTGCACGATTCCGAAAAAAGTGAGAGAGAAAGAGAGAGAGAGACGAATAAGAAAAATGATTTGATCGGTGATCATAAAATTCCTTCGTTCGGTATACTCTCCCATCATACGAACGTGAAAACGTCGTGGCAGGTACATACGTGCCCGGTAGTAACAGAGGCCACCTTGAAAAATCATGCTCGAGTTCGTCGTTTTAATGCGCGAACGAGTTCGGGACTTTCGCGTCGTTAAACGTTTTTCCTAACGTAAGTCGCGCGTGTCATGGGGTTGGAGGGACAAGGGGACGGGGGAAACGGAGGGGAACAAGTAAAAAAGGTAACAAGTAATCGTCGTGTCTGGTGTACACCGCTCGGACTCCAAAACGAAGCAAGGTTCGGGACAACACGAGAGAGATGAAGATTCCACTTTCGGTTTGGTTGAAAAGAAATTGACTCGATGAACCAAACAAACAACTAACCAACGAAACAACCAACCAACCTTCCCTTGTTCGATGAGATTCGTGGAAAGTTTCCGGCGAGTGATCACCGGAAGAAATAAACCCGATGAAAAGGTACGTTGTATACTCTTCGTTATTATACCGATCACGAACTAACACTGTCGTTGTCGTTTTCGTCGTCATCTTGGATCGTAACGAAACGAGGTGTGTAACAAGGAAGAATTCGGTAAATCACGTTATTTTATTTTCGGTTTTTTCAATTGAAACCTCGTTACTTATTGTTAGTTACAACGTTCTACTTTAACGTAGATATTTATAATAACATTAATATTAGTTGTATGCGTGTATGTATGTAAATATATATATACGAGAATGTGTTATTACAATGAATTATATAATTAACATATAAAAAAGTTATATTTAAGAATTATTAGAAAAAAAGGGAAGAAGAAATAAAAAATATAATCTATTGGCACATAGAAAACATTAAAACTAGAAGATTAAGAATACGAAAGTTACATTATAAATCGTATGTACTACCTGTACGCACACATTGGTTATTTTGTTGTTCTTAGTCGAGTATTAAATACGAACCGTTAAAATAAAAGATCGCAAAAGGGCAAGCCGGACGCATCTGTCCGTTCGCATTAAACGAAATGAAAAATGACGAGGTTGGTGTTCTTTGGTCGTCGTAGGACAGCGGAACGAGACAAAGAGATTTACGTGTATATACGTTTGTTTGTCTTTGTGTGTGTATGTGTGTGGGTGTGTGTGAGGTGACTAGAGAGAAAGAGAGAGTGTGTGTGTGAGAGAGTGAGAGGAAACCTGGTGCACAGGAAAGCGATGCTCTCATCGATCTCTATTTCCAACGCAGTCCGTTTTACCGGACGCGGGACTCGCGCGAGCGCATTTACATTATCATAAACTGGACCTCTCGCATGCGCGCGCGTGGTTCGTTCCTTGTCTCTAAGCTGGAGAAAGGAGAAGAGGGAAAGGAAGATAAAGGTCGAGTCGCGGACGAGCGAAAACGAGTCGACCGAAAGGTACATTGGCGTCTCTCTTCTTAGGATAACCATTCGAAGAATGACTTTCCTTTAAAATAATAATTATTTAACGTGTTAATTATAAATAATTTTGACATACGATTTTTTGGCTATTTATTAAAACACGCGTTATTAATTATTTATTATTTTTATATTAATTATATAATGTATTGATTATTTTTTCGTATTAATTTTATTAATATTAAAAATGCGCGTAACAATTATAATTATTTAATCTTCATCAATTAAATGATATTCGCGTAATAATTATTTGAATACAGTATGATAGAATATAGTCGTTTTTGGAACAATGATTTTTATAGAGACGAAAAATAATACGTAAATTGTTTCTATAAATTGATTGTTATCGAATCGAATATATTTCTATTATGGAATTTTATACGATGAATTTGATCAAATATAATATTTATTATAGATCTTATATGTCGCCGCCAATGTATAATAGGAACGACGGAACTAGCGCGTATAACGATGTGCGTGAAGCATAATGCACGGAAATTTATGGCGTCGTCTTGGCGCAAATTACCGCCCTTGAACCGTCCCCAGTGCGTCGCATTATTTCACACCGAAACAGGGGATTATTTGATTTCTCGAGATGCAAAGAGCTCCGCGCCGACTCAGCGGCTTTTCCACGAGCATGATCTTCTTGCTACCTACTATCAACGTATACCTCTTTTTCTTCTTATTTCTCGTCGCATCGAATACGCTTGAAATAAAACCATAAAGATTATCGAGAATTACGATCTACCATATAAATCAAATTAAATATGAACAAATAAAAATGAATTATTACAAAATAATTCATATATTTTATTGAACAAATTTTAAATACGTACGTTTAGGAGTGTTATAATTTGAATGTAATGCCATGTTGTGTTAAACCGTATTATACGAGATTCAGAGTACATTATTTCAAGGTAATTTAATTTTTAAATATGTTAAACAAAAATTGTCATGTTATCCAGTGCTGTAAAAGTATAAAGTGTTGTACAAAGGTTTTCGCAATTTATGAATCATGTTATAACAAAACCGTGTAAATGTAAAAATGCGATACACCAATTAATAAACTATCCTTTTTAATGAATACATTTTTTCAACAAAATTATATCATAAAATCACAGCTAATATCGGATTAATCGAAAACTTCGTAGGTTACCCAAAATTCCTATGTCAGGTAAATCATTGCGTAAAAGTTTAACGAAACTCGTTCGACAAACTCGTTCGTTTACTCGTCGTATTCGCGAGTAAGTCTCGATCCTCTCGATTTCCTTTTACTTACATACATCGAGACGGAAGCCTAAGCACGGTAACGAACATGAGTCCCGTCCCGTTCCGTCCCGTATCCGTTTTTTCGCGAACTAACAGCTACGAAGAAAGGAAAGAAGTGATTGCGAAGAAGAGAGTTGGATGAGCCCTTGCGTTTACTCTTCTTCTTCCCTCCCCCTCTTCAACCTTCTCCTCTTCCATTACTTCTTCTTCTTATTTTTGCTGAAGAAAAAGAGATAAAGAGAGTTCGTCGTCCTGGCACCATCGGGAAACGACTGCAAACAGCGAACCTAGAGATTAGCATAATACATTACGAGTCGCGTAAGAAAAAGAAAATAGAAAGAGAAAGAGAAAGAGAGAGAGAATGAGAGAGAGAATGAGAGAGAGAGAGAGAGGAAGAGATAGGAAGGAACCGGACGTTTCTCGTTTGAGAACCGCTTTTGGCGCCAGACGCAACCTGGAATGCGGTTCCCAACTCCTCAGGGTAAAGGAGGACTTTTCTTCGGCACGTGGCAATCTCCCACACGAGACCACGTGTCCTCCATCCGGAAGGTAAGCTTTTATAATGAACACGAATGACGGATGAGCGAAGATTCGAAAGTGAAACCTTCTTGTCTACCTTTTTTTTCCCCTTTTGTATTATACTTTTTTTTTCTTTCTTCGAATTGGAGATCGTGTCAAGTTGATTAACGCGAACGGTAAACGAAGTTTTCGATAATTAATTATCGTATTCTAGTTACTTAAATTCGATTTGTTCTCGATTGAAAGTTGATACAATAAATCATAATGATTATATATATTATTCGGTTTATTATTTTTCTATTTATAAACGAAGTAACGTTTAAATAAAGAGGGACAGGTTATTTGTTGAAGTATTGTACTGGTCGCCTGAAGTTTTTTGTTCCGTAAAAACGTTGTGTTTTTATATAACCATATATAGATCATTTAAAGTTTCATTTAATCAGTTGTAAAACTTTTTCTAAATGTCCTGTTCAAAATGTTGCCATGCGAAATACTGGTTTGACATCGTTGTAGTATATACTGTTCATGACAAGCAAAATTTCTTGTGGATTTCTATTAATTTCTGTAATCGCATCCCTGGTTCGTTTTACCATAACATCGAGTGTAATTATCTCACAATCAGTTGCATAAATTTCTTATTTGAATTTTTCCTAGAAATAAAAATCTAATAGGGGTTAGGTCAAGTGATCTATAGACGGTCAAGATATTGTTCAGAAAATAATCAATCTAAGATTGAACATTTTTTAGATAGTAAACAGTGTACTTACAATCGCTAAATATCATCCTTGAGTATCACATTTTGACAATTCAACAATTTTTATTTTATAACTTTGAAATAAAGCTTTAAATGACCTATGTTTATATAACATGTTGTTCTTATTTTCTAACGTAGAATACGTTCGTAATGTTTTGTACGTAAAAAATCTCAGACACCGTGTATATTGCAGCAGTTAATGGTCCGTTTATAGTCCCCGCAAACCCTCAGGGTTGGTAGAAGTACAACCCGCTAAGAATGGACCCACCGACGATAAATTAATAGACAAGAAAAGCGAGCGTGCACCCTACTATCGAAGAGTCCAACCGAAGTAATAACATAATAATAACTTGGATACCATCGGACTAATTTATTCCCGATTGGAATATATCCTGGATAAAAACTTAAAGACCGGCCCTAAAGGGTTTTGCCCGCAAGAAACCCTTATCAAGGCCACTTTAAGGATTCTTCTTTATTTTCCAATTGGGAATTGCCGGAAGCGGAAAGACAAGCCCTCTCCCCCAACCCAATCCACGATGTTTCCCTCCGACTCCGACCCTCTTTACAATCCATTGATTTGATGAAAATAACGATCGAAATAATACCAAAAGAAATACGGAAATATCGTTAAAGGAGAAGAAGAACCAACCGAGTTGTACTCATCGAAGTAAATGATTTTTTAAAGCGAAAAATACGAGAGAAAAAAAATCGCGCGAGGAGGATCGCATTCCAAAGGGTTGGGCAACCGAAGAGAAAGGCAAAGAGGAAAGGAAAGAAAAGAAAAAGAAAACAAGAGAAAGGTGGGAGTGGGGGTGAAAGAAACGAAAAGGAAGCGAGAAAGGAGCGGAAAGTAATTTAGGTGTCTACCAACGACTCGAGGAAACGGAGACCGAAACTTCCACGACCCTTCCTTCCTTCCTTCCTTCGTGTATAGCCGAACGACCAGCTTCATGAATGGAGCAAATTGCATTTTGTGCCTGGAACCGTCCGGCCAATTTATTTTCACTTTCATTTACGAGCGAACGCCACGAAGCCATCGTGTGTGCTTTGAGAATAAGAGAAAGAGAGAGATAGAGAGAGAGAGTGAATGAGAAAGAGAGAGAAGGGTATACATTCTCGAGAAACTCGTCCTTCTTTATGCTACCATTCGTGTTGCGTTGCTTAGAAACACTATTCCCGCGTATTCATTTAATAATAATAAATTATCCTCGCACACACAGAGAGGGGAAAAAGAAAAAGAGAAAAAGAGAGAGAGAGAGAGAGAGATAAGGAAAGATCAAAGCACGAAAGGATGCTTAAGGTTTAATAAAGAGTGGAACAATTTTACGGCCATTAATTCGTGTCATGACAAACGTCGAATGTTTACGATACGATTTAAAAGATCGAATAAGATAAAAAAAAAACAGAAAGGAAAAAGAAAGGAGAAGAAAAGAAAAAGTGGACAAAACGAAAGATATACTTGATACGATCTTGAACTCCTCGTGACATTATCAAAGAACTCGGATCTATGACTTGGCAATTCATTACAAAGAAACTCGTATAATATAGCTAAGTTAGCCTTTGGTAACCTTCGCGAATCTAAGAGGAACGAAAAGTTGTTGTTAATGCGATTGAGAGGGGTGGTGGGGGAGAAGGAGGAGGAGGAGGAGGAAGAATCGTTGATCGGTAGGAAAAGGTGAGATGATAGCACGTATATTTATATATATATATATATCTACTCTTAAGACGCGAGATATATGCGAATAATAATGAGATTCTATGAATATGGTAATGGTCGCGATTAGGTGTCAGGGAGGGCGAATGACGTGTCTCGGGCAAACGTAAACGAGGATGAAATTGCCATTACTCAAAGCAAAGTGCTACCGAGAGATGGTAACCTAACTGGCCTCGGTTGCGCATCTATATTCTACCACAATAATACGAGGACACTTAAGCAACGAGTACTCTAATGAAGGAGGAGCTTTGCATTTTAAATTGAATCCTTCGTGGGAAGGAAAATCAAGGAAGAAAGAAAGAAAGATTGTGGAAAGACAAAAAGAAGGAGCAAGATTATTACGTAGAAATTAGACATTTGAACGATTGAAAAGAAAAACGGGGGTAGGTAAAAAATATATTTTCAACGATATTAAGAGAAATCATTTCAATGTTTGTCGAATCGTTTTAAATGATAAGTAAAGTTTCGATACGATTTATCTAGATAAATATTCAAATAAATGTTTCATTCGTGAGATATTGTTAAATGATATTTTTAAAAATGTTTTTCTCTCTAATTTTGTAAATTTCTACGATAACTTGTGTACCCCTTTTAGCTACTGAAGAGTATGGTTATTTTTGCAAGTAGGATATCACACACATGGGAATTCAGTTGTATCACTTTGCCACACGTGACGAATATAAACAAAATATTATTTCTACCCCATTTCCTTTTCACCGATTCATTTATTTTGTAACTTTTTTTATTTCATTATATATCCCTATCTCTTTTAACATTCGTTTAAAAATATTTAAAATTTATGCGATTGATTCAAAGCCATATACATATATATAGATAAACTATAAAATAATAGTTATCTCTTAAATCGAGTACACAGTTATTTTAATAACATCTTTCTATATATATATATATTGGACTCGTGTGATCAAAGTTAAGAGTGCACCATAGGTTCGAACGATCTCTCATGCTCGTAAAATAGAAAGCAAAGGGTCAAATCTTGGATAGAGAAAGGTTAGAAGAAGTAGCAACATCTGCAACTCAGTTCTGCACTCATCTCTATGAAAACAAAAGGAAGAGGTGGATCTCCTCCTTCTCGTAGTTCTTTTCCATGGAATGCCATGAAATCGTGCTAAGAGAAACCATACTACCGTTATCGAAAAAGGGGGATGAAACGTTTCGCTGTTTATTCAACTATTCAATGTGTGTTCCTTCCTTATATTCTCTTTTACGATAGAAGGAAGAAGAAATTGCGTGGGTCGAACGGTCCGTTTCTGTTTAAGAAAGACCATCTCGATCGGATTTCTCTTTGCTACCGGAAGTCGAATACTATAGAAGAAATAGAAATAGAAGTAGAAGTAAAGAATAAGAATAAGAAGAAGAAGAGGATTCGAGTTGCTCGAGCTTCTTGGAATTACATACGAATTTCACGATAGTCTCGCCATCCTAGTATCGTAGTA